TAAATTTCGTAATGTAACTGAAAATGTTTTAATGCGCCTTATGTGAAATCCAGTAAGATTTCTTTTTCTATCCGAGCTGTAATTTATCCATGCACACACACGGACTTGCATATTGACCTGTCTGCTGCTGGTGAAGCAAGCCAAGATTGTTTCACAAGTTCTGGCTCATTAATTCTTGCTACTAGCTACAAAGACAACTGAACAGCATATTTGCTAGATTTGATCACTTTGGTCTGCCACTTAGCACTTTCTCTTTGAGAGCTACAAAGTGCAAAAACAAGAAGAAGAAAAGTATGAATTTGTTGGAGAAGGGCCATCTAGCCTAATAGCCTAATGACTGTATTGCAACGAAGCCTATGAAGAATTAGAGTAGTAAATGGATTTTGCACAGTTCATGTAGTGGCAAAACACTTAACCATTTGAATTTGAAACTTCAATGTTCTGAAACACAGAGACATCAGCAGTGAACATGGACAAGTTATTTTTTGAATGCACACAAAATCTCTAGATGTTCTGCAGAACTGTTGTTTTCTTGTTTGAAACTTGTGTGAAAATGCCTCCGATCAACAGTAAAGGAAGGAAAACTAACTGTGTTAACATTATTAATAATTTTACACAGGTGTGAATTATTAATAATGTTACACAGGTTGGATTTTGATGGCAGTTATCATTGAGTTTGCAAGGAAAAAAGAAATGTGGTTTAAACGTGACAGCAACCCCATTCACTTGCTATGGTTGTAGAAATAAAAATATGTATCCAGTTTATCTCTATATATATTAATGCCACTGCAAATTCCATTTTACCAGTGATAATGTTAGGCTACACCATTGAGCACTGGTCTGATTGTTGTTTATTTCAACAGTGAGCATGAAAGATTTTAAGAGACTATTATGTTACCTTGATATTATATCAACAGTGTATAATGTTTTAAAACTGAGAATGAATTTTAAAAATGTGAGGTACTTCAATGTAGAAGGTAACACACTGGTGTTTGTGAGAGCTTAAATGGAGTTTACAACACATTTTGAGGAGGGATAACTGGCCTCAGCTGTCCTAAATCAGAATCATGCCTCATATAATTTCCTCATTAACTACAGAAAACTATATACTGTACACACCTCTTCTTCCTTTGCAGTCCTTCTCCACCTCTTCTTCATTTTTGCCTCCAGTCAGTTCTAGACAGTGGTTAGTGTTCCAGATACGTTTGCCTACATTCCTCATAATCCCCTGAGTGCTATCATGTGGATCATAACTGTGAACCAAGATGTCAAAAACACATAACTGGTGATTCCAAAAATCAGGCAGGTATAACAGATCTGTTGGTAGTATATGTGGAGGGAAGTGTGTGTGTGTGTGTGATAAGAGTGGACCTGTAGTTTGATCATTATTTAAATTTGACCAAACCTCAGAAATAGTGGTATTTAACAGACTTTCGAGAGGAAGTCAAATTCTAATCTTGCATGCTGATTATGACTTTGTACTTCCTGGCTGCCCACAACTCGATCCATATTTTTTCAAGCCCCCATTTCCTCCACCCCAGCTACACCCTTGTAGCTGCCACCCTGGTTCATTCCTCATAAGTGACTGAGTTGTGACAGTGCAGGCTGAAGATCAGAGCAGTCATTTCTTCAGCCATGGTAGTTAACACCAAAGTATTAAATACACTATTAATTCATATTTGGCAGCTCATTTCATTGTTATTAAGACTTGACCAAACTACTGATGCATATCCTGGTAGCTGTCTGCTATCACAATGGTGATTTAGCACTCCAGGCTTGGTGAGAGGTCTGGTTATCTCATAGGTCTCATAGGCGCATCAAAGTTTTCTTTTCTATGGTGCTGTCTTAGTCTCTGCCCTTGCATGAACACAAGAACACAAGTTCTACTCCCTGGAGATACCCAGACATGGCCTGACAGGAAAAATTATGCTGTGATGACAAAGCAACAAATGCCTCCTTTAAAAAATTCTGCTGGATAAGCACTCACAGACACGGGCAGAGAATCAAGTTTAACACTCCTTTCCCATCCAAAAGAGAAGTGCTTTTTATACATTCTTAAATGCATTTTTACCTCCAATTATTTGGTCCCTCTTTTGTTAAATCGTATATCTGAAAGTGCACCTGTTGCTGTTGTTTTGGAGATTTGGAACCAAACCCACATAGAAACAATTTGTAATATGTTATGGATATATTATATATAGAGAAATGTAATATTTATAATAAAACTGAAGAAAATTTAATTGTATGTATCCATTTATGATAATATTACAAATAAATTAAATAAAATTAAATAGGATCATATATTTAAAATATATGAAAGTATAACATTATATGATGTCATGACGTAATTTAATATCAATCTTGTATGCCTTTTAAATTTATTTCAATACATATTAATACAATGTAAAAAATCTATTTATTTTCAAATATATTTGAATACAATAAATACAGTAAATAGGCCTATATCATTTTAGGTCATTTCTCCAATGTATGCATACATGATATACGTACAGTATGTTCCACAGTACAGATCCCACTGTTTCCTAGCTCTGCAACAGACACACTGCCAGCCACCCACTGAAATCATTATGGCTCTGCAAGTTAGAAACCCCAGTGCTGATTTCCGCCCTGTTCAATTCTTTCCCCCCTTCTCTTTCTAATGGGGTTTCTTAAACCGAAGTTCAAGAAGAGGTCCAATTCTGATGTTGCTCTCCCACTCATTACTGTATAAAAAACATGTTGTGGCTGCACACAGCTCTGCACACATCTATTCCAGCCCTCCTCCTTCCACCCCAACTTCACTGTCGCAGCAGCTCCCTGGCTCATTCCTCAGAATGGGATGGGTTGTGCTCATTTCTTCTGCCAGGCATGTTAATAGAAACTTATGAAGTACCCTTATATTCATTGGCCCCCCTTTTGTTTTAGAATTTGGCCAAACTGCTGGAATGATGAAAAGAACCATCTGCGTTTCCTACATCCAAGCTGTAGGGGTATCCCCATACAAAAGGGGATTTTACCTGTTCAATTCAAAAGTTTCAATCTAACATTACACTGGCTCATCCAGAGTGCAGCTGGGATCTCATGTGGTGCTAAGTGAGATCTATTAGTCATAAGGATGGTTACATCTCTGAATTAAAATGAGCTAAGATCCAAGGAAACCAGGTGGAAATGAACTGCAAGGCACATTCCGGATTGGAAATGGGGGGAAGCTCACCTCCCAGCCATTTCGCAGAAGCTTATTCCCCAGACTTCCTGGAGGATGATCCCGAAACACATTGTGGAATTGATGAGTTGTGAGCAACAGCAACTGAAGTGAGATGTTTTCATCTGAATTATTTCTTTTACCCCTATGTTCTTAACCCTGGGGTGTCTAAAGCTGTTAATGTAACGCAAGTGAAAACACTGGGAGGCAAATGCAAAGAGGCAAGGCCCTCAGCAGTTTAGGACTATACGTGTGCCAATATAGCTCAAGGCAGTGCTACAGCAGGGAGGGTAGCTGAGCTGGCAGGCAGGTCCAGTGCATCAATCAGTGGTGCTTATTAGCAATGGCAACATCGATTCAGTGTTTTAATTCATTCATTCCCATAACTGTTGGCCTGCCTGCCTGTGCCAGATGGGTGACACATTACTTGACTGAACATTACCTTTGAAGGCTGCCAAAAGGGGGTGACTATGCCATGGCAAATCTAGACTGAAGCTGGTGCCAGTGGCAGCCCACCTACTACCTACCACAGATCCTAGTAACGCAGCCAGACAGTATGACCTTCATCAGTGCCCTGCTTTCAACGGGAATCCAATTGCTCATCAAGCCGGGAGTACTCTCAGAGAGCACCAGCCTGGAGTAAATGATGCTGATTCTGAAGGGAAACTCCAGTCATTATCCTTGAGCACTATGTCTCTCACTGCTGCGTTGAAAATGCGCATTGCAGGCGTCATTTCTCTTGGTAATAGGCTGTCCCAGCCTGTAGATTAATAGCTGCAGACAGCAGCACAGCATCAGGGGCAGGGGCCCTGATGGCCTGAGTGGTGTTGTAGAGGGGTAAAATAGCAGCCGCAGAGAGAAAGTTTATTATCCAAGTCAAGTAACTTTGGAAATTACGTGGACTAAAAAGAACTTGTCAGTGAGGCAATAGTGAAAGAGGAAATGAAGGACACAAACAAGGTGCTCTTAACAAAAGACGGATCAATTCCAATTACCTATGGAAGCAGTAATGCAGCCTCTCGCTGCCTTACAGTCATATTGAGAAAAGAAGTTTTTTTTCTGGTCTTTTTTTCTAGCTAAATCTTTCTTATTTAGAGTGAGCCACTATTATTTTTTTTTCCCTTCGACTTCAATCTAGCATCAGCACTTTTCCCGATTTTGGCACTCACGCCTCCCCTTCGGGGCCTGTCCTTTTCCTCCTACACCTGTAGCTCTCACTTTGTCGGCTCACGGTGATCATCTGCCCCACTTTCTGGGTGACCCTCACACAAACTTTATTTCAGCTGACAGCGCGCACTCAGGCACTAAAGGGTGGCATGTTGCGTTTGTCAGATATTTTTCGCTGGCGACACAAAATAAACCTCATCTTTATTGAGTCTGTAGGCATTTGCATTTGTAATCTCTGTTCAGGAATTTGCTTCTATAATATTCTGGTCCTGCAGCATCAGCCTGGGGAGGGTCTATTTGCATTTCTCGTGCCTGAGCTTTTAGCTTTGAATCCACAGTTCCTGTTTTAAATTGCCAGGCATCTTACAAAATGTGTACTGCCTCATCGTGTTCATTTTCCTTTGAAAGCATAATTGTGTTGCAACTCTGATTTTCATCCTCAAAGTGCTACCAGAATTTTTTGCGGTAATAGTTCATTGAACGCCACATGACTTTTTGTAATTGAAGTGAGAGATGGGAAATCTCAGGCCCATGCTTCTGAGCAGACATCCAGCCCTGGCTTAAATGCAGTTCAGACAGAAAGAGTGTGTGCACGGTTTGCGAACTCCCTTCTCTCTTTCTCTGTTTCCAGCCAACATCCTTACAGTGATCATCCTGTCCCAGCTGGTGTCCCGGCGTCAGAAATCCTCCTATAACTACCTTCTGGCCCTGGCAGCTGCTGACATTCTGGTGCTCTTCCTCATTGTCTTTGTGGACTTCCTGCTGGAGGACTTCATCCTGAGTCAGCCCCTGCCGCCTTCTCTGAACAAAGCCGTGCAGGTGCTGGAGTTCTCCTCCATTCACACCTCCATCTGGATCACCGTACCCCTGACCGTCGACCGCTACATCGCTGTCTGCCACCCACTCAAGTATCACACGGTCTCCTACCCAGCCCGCACCCGTAAGGTCATAGTGACAGTCTACCTCACTTGCCTGCTGACCAGCGCTCCCTATTACTGGTGGCCAGATCTGTGGCAGGTGGACTACAGCAGCAGTATGGCTCACCAGGTGCTGGTGTGGGCCCACTGCGTGACTGTGTACCTGGTGCCCTGTTCCATCTTCTTTGTCCTCAACTCCATCATTGTCCACAAGTTGCGCCGGCGCAGGAGCTGCTTCAGGCTGAGGGGCTACTCCACGGGCAAGACCACCGCCATCCTCCTGACGATCACCACTATCTTCGCCATCCTGTGGGCGCCCCGGGTGGTCATGATCCTGTACCACCTGTACGTCTCGCCCATTGCCTCCGCCCGCGTGGTGCACCTCGTCACCGACGTGGCCAACATGCTGGCGCTCCTCAACACCGGCATCAACTTCTTCCTCTACTGCTTCATCAGCAAGCGTTTCCGGGGCATGGCAGCCGCCATGCTGAGGGCCTTCTTCCGCTGCCAGAAGCAGCCCGTCCAGTTCTACACCAACCACAACTTCTCCATCACCAGCAGCCCCTGGATCTCCCCCGCCAACTCCCACTGCATCAAGATGCTGGTGTACCAGTACGACAAGAACGGCAAGCCCGTCCGCATTTCCTCCTGAGAGGCGGATAAGCACGGGGAGCTGCTGTTCCCTGGCGTCGGGCGAAGTTCCTTCTCGCTTCTGCTTCTCGGATGATGCGGAAGAGCAGGATTACAGAATCCTCGGCCAGCAAAAGCCAAGGAACAAGTCGTTGGCTTGTGAGGAGGCTGTGTGGCTGCTGCTGCTCTTGAATTCATGGGTTTCCCCCCCCCAGAGAAAGATGCAGCACAAATGGTTGTTTCGATGTTCCTTTTTATTAAGTGTGAAAAGGGGATTTTGATATGGAGGTCGTTATCTCTCCTACTACCGGTGGTCAACATTTTTTTTTTTTAAGTCTTAGAGGTTCTGTCTGGCAAAGTATCTGTATGAGGCCAGAAGCAACAAACTTTGCAAAGACTCTCTTTTTTTTTTCAGAGGTGCAAAAAAGAAACAGTTTTTTTTTTTAAATCTCTGCACTGTCAAACATACGCAAAGGGATTACACTTCACTCCTGTGTTCCCTCATATTCTCACATTAGTGACAGTCAACACTTAACACGTGTCTGATATACTGGAGGGGACTCTGGTCCATGAGAATTACAAGTTCTCAAGCTTTTCATTCCAATTCCTTTCTCAGTTACTTAATTGAACTAATTATCTACCTAATTATTTAGGCTTTCAGATATGTATCCATTGATTGTAAAAACCTTTAAAACCAAAAGAACTAGGGTTTTCTGAGACCAAGGCAGGAGACAGCTTTTCAAAACAAATACTCATTATAGTTCTTCAAAAAATTGGGATAGTTTGGACACAAATATCACTTTGAGGTAGTCCTTTCTTTTGCTAAAGCCTTCTAACTCTCTTAATATCTCTAATGAAGTATCTTAAAGTGATGGCGACAGGCTACTGTACAGCAGGAAATGTTTTTAAAAGCAAGCAAAGGATGTTGGTTCAAACAATAGTAAGTCCTTTCTTTCTCTACAGTCTATTAGCACTTTATTTCATTGATCTGCTCAACAAGAAGATTTAAACATTACAATACATTACAATCTTGACTATGATATATATCTCTCTTATGTTTTAATAAATACCCAGATATGCTGTCATTTACTCTGGACCACTGTTCTGGATCTGTTTGCACAGGTTTAGATCAGTGCAGTACTCAAGCAGTTAAAATAGTGCCCAATGAAATAAATGAACCATACAGCATCCTGCTTCCACACATTTCCCACTGGATCGACAAGAAATGAAAATGTACTCTCACCTCTGCAAGCCACATGCGAATATCTTTAACCTTTCGCAATCTCTCCCTTTTTGGTCACACGAATTGATCCTTATCCATAATTTCATTACTTTATCCTGAATTTGTTCATCTGTTTGTGCTTTGTAATCTCTTGAGAAGGCTTTAAAATGGATAAGGAGGTATAAAATGAAGGCTGAAATAAATGCCCTAAACCCTAATTAATTCATTCATAGCTGTTTTTAAAGAAACGTGGTGCTAGATGTTAATGATGTACTGAGGTATACTGTATTAAGCACCTTATGACTTTCTGCATGTGAGAAGCTGCTGTGAGATTGCTGAAAACTGATCCTTTTACAGAAACATAGGGTTTTAGATGTGTTATACTCTTTAAACAGTGCAGTGGAAATTAACCCTTTAAATAATTAATAACCATCAATCGAAAGCCAGACACAAAATGGTCCATAATCCTTTAAATTGTTCCCAAAACTCTGTCTACAGAACTGCTTCTGCAAGTCAGAAAAGAAACCTTACAGAAAGAAACATTCCCTTTTAAGCAGCTCGGCAAAGATCTTGAACATCTCTGGCTCATAATTACGGTAATGCCTTCTACATTCTGGAATCACTTGATTCTGGTAAGTAACAGTTGTTACGGTTATTATGATCATTTATGCTGCTATTTTAAGATTCCTAATTCTCAATCAGTGGGATCACGCAATGTTTGGTGATCCAGAGCAATCTTCAATCTTTTCTGGAAGTAATGAAAAAGGTTTTAGATGGCAGTCACTCCAAAGAGGCAACACAATGCTGAGTTATTCTTTTTCGCCGAGTTATTTTTTGGGGCACTAGAAATCTGTCTGGAAATCTTTGGTTCTTGCTTTCACAGTTTTTAAAATGAGCCTGAACATGTCTGTATGGTAAAATTAATAACTAATTGCCCTCCTAACCTCAGATATGTTTGTGTCGTCTCACCCTGTACAGCAGGAAGTGCTGTAACTGATTTATTGATTGGTAGGTTTCTATTCTTTTTTGTATGAATGGCTTTACAATGGGCAAATACAACATTAAGGCCAAGCAGGTTGGTGATCTGTAAACAGTAAATAGAAAGAATGTGTAGAAATAACAAACTGATGCCAAAAGACCTTGAGAACCTTTGGTAAACTATAACAGCAAAAAAAACTATAATGAAACAGGGCTTGGGAGCCAGATAGCCTGTTTAATTATTTTTCTCAGAGAAATTTGGATACAATTTCACATATCGGGGCAACACAACAATTCCTCAGACGCAAAAGCTTTGGAAAGACCTAACAAAATCTGTTTTCTTGCCAATGTGGATGTGAGTCTATGTGTTCTGATTTGTGTGAGCTGATTTATGTGGTTAATTTCTTCACAAGTGTTTCCACAGAGGTAGGAATAATCTCCTCCACTGCACCTTGGCCTTCTAGACAACCCCTCCACAAGTTATCAGTTTGAGTGGTTAATAACAAGGCGCCTTTATTATCTGTTTTAAAAAATAATATAATCTTCTAAAAAAGAAATGAAGGACCAGATAGGCAAAACGAAGTTCTATATATTCGGAATGTAATGAGTTCTATATATTCAGAATATATATATCATTTTGGAATGAGGACAGGAGCAAACAGGCTTGATGGAAAAATTACAAAAAACTCCCTACCAAAACACATTATCACTGCATCATTGTGATGAGGAGAGAGTGGGGGTAATTTAACAGGATTGTTGTAACTGCATCTGCTTCAGACTGAGGATTTAAATGTCAAACCCTTGGCTTTTCAAAGCTTCTAAAACTAGTGAACCACTTTCAAAATCCAGGGTTTATAGGAGCTATGGTGTGAAAGAGACGTAGCCTAAATTAACCAAGCGCTAGCCCCCTGCCTTACTTGACCTGCATGTAATGAGTAGGAATTGCTTGGCTCTGGGATTTGGGACTCAAAGAGTTTAACTGTTGACTCCTGCAGACCCCAGACCTGGTACAGACAGGAGCAAATGTTTCGGGCTGAACTCTGTAGTTGGGGGATCAATTGTGCAGTCAAGGTGGAATGATTTGGTACCCAATTGAAAAATAATTTAAATCATTAAACCAACGTCTACTCACCAGACATCAGTTTTGATTTAAAACTACATCAGATAAATCGTACACACCAGACATCACATTTTAAGAAAAACCTTGAGACTCACAAACCACAGAGAATTAACTCAATTTCTAGAGGCCCAATATCCATTGTAAGTATTCAAGTCAAATTTGGTAATAGTATCATTGCAATTTTAACCAATCATACTTATAGTGCAGAGAAATAATGAGTTTCTTCAACAAAGACAGCATATTCATCGTGTAGTTGTTCAGCTGGACTGTACAGCTAAGTGTACCCAGCAAGCAGATGGGTTTTAAGGTCAGATACATTGCAGAACTCATTGCCAAATGACTGTCCAGAATTGCTAACTAATATGAGTGTTCAACGCAGGTGTTACATTAAGGACGATAAAGTGATTTAGACTTAACTGTATTATAAAGCCCCTCTGGGCTTCCTGTCTGCTTGCATCTTAGAGAAAACGCCTTTCATTGCTGCTGTACTGTGATCACTGTCAGTTTTAATTTACAGATGAAAGATATTATGATATCACTAGCAGGGACTAAATGTAAACTTTTAACCTTAATTCTGCCGGGGGCCTCTTTCAATAGATGTCCTTTTTCTCAGTAAATAAGATACCTTCTGCATATATAGATGCTTCAAAAGGCATGAAAATATATAGGTCAGCTCTCAAAATGACTTCTTATGTTCCATTAAGGATCTTTTTCAACTTCCCACAGCTCTAAGCACATTATCAAAGGCACAAAAGAGCAATTTTTTAACAATTCGCCACCTCTCATTCTATTTGTGACTCTCTGCTGTTGTTTCAATTTGGGATAACAGTAATGCAAGGATCATGAAAGCTGGATTAGATGAAACGGCCGACTGGAGGTGAATTAAAAGCATCGCATTGCTCTTACTAGTGCAGAATCATTTCCTCGCCTTTTGTAAAAGAGTGAGCATGCATCTTGAAACTGAGTTGCGCGTCCCTTACATTTCTGTCAGTGCGGTGCTGACCACTCAAGGTCATATTGGGAACATGTTCACATCTCAAGACTCCCGCCCCAGGGGGACGTCCAGCACAAGATCTTTTAATGAATACATCCAAAAGTGTAAGTGTCTAGGAAAAGACATTCATCAGCAGCCTCAGAATGATCTCAGAGAGCTGGCTTTAGTTTGCTCTCTGGGTCTTTATGTACCTAACAGAGGCTCTTTCTTGCAGTGATTAAAATACTGTCCTCAGACAGAGGCAATGGCAGGCACGCGCCTTTACATCTGAGAACCCTTCTGTGCCACGTTCTACCACTGTGACAAGGTGGTCATGCACCACACTGTGCTTGATAAAGCTTTACCAGATACGCTGTTCCTATCCGTGTTGCGGTGGCACAGCGAGACTGGAGAGCTCGCCAGCCCTCGGTCTGCTCGGCTGGAATTCCAGTTGTCTGAGCCAGATGTGGTTCGGACATGGATAGAATCCCCAAACTATGAAAAACAGGAATGTTTGATTTCAGTCTCCAGAACTACAAAAAAAGTCTTTTTTTTCCCACCATCTCGAGTTCAATTGGACTTTGCACAGAAGCTCAGGATCAGAGTTAACACTGTAGAGTTGGAGGAGAATGACTATACTGTATAAAGAATCTGGTTGTGTTTATTAATACCAGAAGCTCATTTGAATTCAACATCTTCCTAATTCAGTGCTGTGGATTGTCAGTAGACAATAGACAGATGTTTGAAGAATGGCTCAGTGAATTGATGGACAGGAGTCAGGTGACTTCTTGCTACATTTCACATACTGTATATACCATGAAAGAGGTTAATGTTCTGTACTAATACAAGTAGTTCATCAATAACTAAAAGCTGACATAATGCTTCAGTTTCAAACAGACAGAGAGTGTATAATTGGGTGAAATAACTCCCATACAGGTATTTCTAATAGGATTAACGCTGGCATATCAGGAAGGCACAGTCCAAGAAACCATGATATTTGCTCAAAGACCCCACATTCTTTTGCCTCATACATGTAAGTTACATGCATTTTGAATCCCACCATCAGGCTAGGACGGGTGTGCTTTGAGCTGTCTGTAGCATGTAATTAAGATTAGTCTTGCAAAATGAATTAAAATTGAAGCCCCAAGTAAGCCTTTTTGAACAGATGCGCCTCAGTAATATTTTTCACATTCCACTTCATAAAAAATAATGAACTATGACCCACTCTGTAAAATCCATGAAATACATTCCCCTCTCAGGAATACAGTAGCTGAGTCTCGGCTTAATGCATTCTAATGAAAACCGAGTTTCCCAGCCCAGCCAGTGGGGGGCCAGAAATAAAAAGTGAGTATCAATGCAGGTCCAGATATAGAAAAAAAGAAAGCAGAAGAAAGCAGACGCAATAAGGCATAAGCAGCTCAATAAAGTAATTGACAACTGAGGTAGAAAAAACAGACATCAACTGTCCTTGTCAGCTTAACCTCTTTAGGCTACAAGACTGATCTGTAATTGAATAACATGGGTCTGCAGTTACCCACCCCTTTACCAGCTCCAGCACAATCTAGCACAGGTTCAGCAAGTAGTCTCAAACTATTATTCATTATTTTATTGAATGCCTTCTCAAGATGAGCACCATTTTCCAAGGCCCTTGCAAAAGTGCTCATTATAGACAAAGCCCTTGTGGACTGGATGAGATCCTTGAATGAATTAGCTACCAAAAACAACATGAGCTCCACGGACAGATGGGTTTCATTTTGTTTGCAAATATGTGCTTATAACCTGTGAGGAATTCTGGGCAGATTCCATGAAAGGAGGCCTATGTCATTTCCTGTTATCTCTCTCAAATTACGTTAGCTTTCCACATTTATAATTAACAGCATTTAGACATATTTCCCAGTTAGGCTTATTGGGAACACATCCATTTGGGGCTGCTGTTATGTAATGTCAGTTATGCATATTTTATAATTGAAATATACTGCATTGTCAAAGAATGAATAGAGTATCCTAAATGTTGTAATAACTCGAAAAGCTAGCCCTAACTGTGATCACTGACTGAACCATACCTATAATAATTTGGACCATTATTTATAAAAACATTAATAGCATGTTAGTTTATGGCTTATAGACAGTGACAGCAGACACATTAACTACAGTGGAACATTCTGGACTATATAAAGAGAATATTGAATTTAGAAATGACTGTGAGTTTCTCATTGTGGTACCTGAAACTAACAAGACAGCAGCTAGAAGCAAAATTTACTTCTAGAGCTCCATCCCTTTTTTTCTTAAAGAAATGAGCAGAGATACTATCTATTAATCATCGCGAGTCAGACAAAAACCATAATTAAGTGAGGCTAAGGAGCCATTGCTGTGCTGAAAATTAAATGTCTAGCATCCGCAAAGCTGAACCCTTTCGAAGAAACAGGAAATTAGCAGCAAGATCTCAGCAGAGTGTAAGAAGAATGGATTACAGGTTAACTTCAGGCCTGTTGGGAAGGAAGTGGGTACAGGCAAGCTCTTGGAGAATTGTGAATCCAGGGAACAGAGTGCACAAAGGAATTATTTAATGACAAATCCTTGTGGCCGCAGGCAGTTAAAGGTGTATTAGAACATCTCTTCAGTGGAAACACTTGTTTTATCAAAATGAAACCTCAAACTGCAGAAAACAATCTGCGTTACTAGGGTTGCCAAGCATGTGTATAAAGTATGTTCTATTCTGGTTACATTTCTTTGCTGAGCAAAAACATTTGAACACTGGGCTGTGTGCGTTTTTACATCTGGAACTGAGCAATGGCAGCACAATACATTGATATGACTGATGCCTTCACCTTGGGTAGACAATAGAAGACAACGCTTTGCTCCTTGAAGACTTTGTGCTTTTACTCTGCTGACAGGACACTGGAAAAAAAACATTCATTATATAAAACAACAACACTGTCGGTGAACAGTAGAAAAAGAAAATTCCTATGAGATTGTATCACTGTGGAAAGTGGAAAACAACTGAATGTCAGCTTCCCTAATTCGTGCGGATCAAGATGAACAACAAATACTATAACATGAACAGTATTATTTTTCTACAGGTAACTGGAAGAGAGTTGGGTTTTTCTTATATCCTTTAAAAAAATATGTCTGTCCTATGGTTTCTCACAGTTAAAACCAAAAGGATGTCAAAAGATAAACATGGGACAATCCAAACCTTAAACCTTTAAATTACTTCTCATCTAAGAACAGCTGGGCCACATTAACAAGGGATTCCTTTTCTGCTTTTCTTTTCAAGTTTCTCCTGAACTCAGTGGACATTTAATATTTCATTTGTTTTAAAAAAATGCAATATAGCTTTGTTAAAAGCCTTTAACGGTTTGAATTTATTTTCTAGTATGCACCATGGACAGAATGGATACTGAAAACAACATTACAGCAGATGAACGGAGCATACTTGCACTTGAAATTGAAGCTGCAGGTG